CCAGTTGAACCATCACCTACTGCCTCCCAAGGTGTAATTAGCAGGAAGCTGGAATTAGGAGCAGAGCTAGGACTGGAACCCAGGCACTCCAATAGGGGGCCACCCATCCCAAGTCGTGTCTTACCAGCTGCACCAAACATTCACCCAATATTTTGACTATTGTATTCTACTATTTGATTATATTCATATTATTATTAATTAATAAAATCTTAAGTTTTTGTTATTCAGCTTTGCACCACTATAACAGCATGCTTGACCCAGAGCACTTATAAAGAAAAGGAAATTTATTCAACTCACAGTTTTGGAGGTGCATTGAGTCAGTTCTGGCATGGGGATTCCCTCTCAGCTGCATCATAGGGTGGCTTGCAGTAGCAGGAGCTCAATCATTCCTTGAGCCAGATAACAGAAAGGGGAAGAGGTACAAAGTTTCCACCTTTTAAAACAACTCTCTCTTGCAAGAACTTAAAAGTCACCAGAGGAAGATATCATTGCCTGTGGAGGGCAGGGCCTCCAGTAACACAAAGACTTCTCACTATGCTCCACCTCTTAAAGGTTCCACAATACCTCATAAAACCACCACCACCCTCCCCTGGGGGACACCCAAATATGGTTTACTATGGTAAAACTGCTTCTAATTCTGTGCTAGTGAAAACAACACTACATTGAACATTCTTAGACTCCACAGGTACATTGCTGTGGTGTGTATTCAGAGTGTGGAAACTCTGGTATATTCAGAGTATATTCAGAGTGGTGGAAATTCTGGTTCAAGGGTCATGCCTGTATTTGATTTAATGAGCTTTTTATCTCCAAAGAGCTTTATCAAGTATTGAGATCAATTTATATGCCTGAAAGTCTCTAGCCCATCCATATTTGACCTTCTTAAAATTTGTATAAATTATGAGTTTAGAAATGATACTACATTTCCTGAATTTATAATTTCTTATTTAGAAGGGGTTCTTTGTCTTTTTCTTTCTGATTTACTTACAAGACAGTGTCAGTGAAGGCCATTGGCAATTCCTACTTTGATTTTGTTCTGCTGATAACTCAGAGGATAAGAGGAGAATCCTAAAAATTAGCAGCCAACTAGGATAGAAATACCTCGAATGCAAAAAACTTCACATACATTATTTGTATTCTTATTCACAGCACTAATCAATAAAAAAGAAAATTTATTCCATTACAATAACTAATAATAACTTTTTTAAATTTAGGATATTAAATCTTTGATGATTAACTGCACTGAAAATGTTTTTGTGTGTAAATCGACTTTTCACTATATTATAGAGCTTTTGACTTAAAGGTTACATTGTAATGTAGTTATCTCTACTAATCATGATTTATCATTCATAAATTTGTTCATTTCTAAAATTTTCCCTATACAAAAAATAAAGATATTCTCCAGTAAAGTTTTTCTAAAAATTTGAAGTTTTTTTCTGTATTTAAATCATATATTCATCTGTCATACATCTTTGTGCATATAAGACAAAGACCTATTTTATTTTCCTTATGTATAATGAACTACTTCACAGTATTTAGCTTGTCTTTTTTATTTCTTATTTATTTATGTAATTTAAGTTATACAAGTTTTATGTATTTTATATATGCTGATTTTTCTTTTCTCACTTTTCATAAAGTAGAGGACTATTTTGCAGCTCTTTATTTGTTTGAATTATTTTTGTCCTATTGCTACAGAAATCCTCTACCAAATACAAATTGTTTCAGCTTTTATAATCCAAAACTAAGTGTTGATATCACAAAGATACATACCCTCATATCTGCTTTTTTTTTTTTTCCTTTTTTTCTTCAGCCAATCTTTCTTTCTTTTATTTTCCTTCTGGCCTTCATTCTTGCATTTGTATTTTAGGATTGGTTTCTCAATTTTCATTTAAAATGTAGGAACTTTGATTCAAAATCATTATATGCCTTCACTGGATGGAGTTCACGTCTTTATAATGTTGAATCTTCCTAGTCACACACATGGTGAATTTGTGTATATCTGGGTCTTATTTTATGTCCTCTTCATTGATCTTGCACATCATTTGTTTTTGATTATTCCTAGAGATGTTAGGGTTTTTTGTAGTTATTGTAATGGAATAAATTTTTATTTTTATTGATTAATAAAAATAATAATAATACAAATAATGTATGTGAAGTTTTTTGCATTCGAGGTATTTCTATCCTAGTTGGCTGCTAATATTTAGGATTCGCCTCTGAGTTATCAGCAGAACAATATCAAAGTAGGAATTACCAATGGCCTTCACTGACAATTTTATAAAAAAAATAAAAAGTGGAAATTGAGTGGAGTCTAAAAGAGGGCAAGTCTTAATTAAAAGGATTGTTATGGGGAAAGAAGTAAGTACCTACACAGAGAAACAAAGTTGGCTTTTTTAAGCCACAAAAATATTCCAAAATGCATCTGGATTTGGTTGCTAAGCACTCGATTATTTAATTAGTTCTTTATATTATATTAAATTTAGTTACTTATATTGAGTTCTAAGACATTCTCTTTCATATATGTATATCCATTCATATATGTATGGATAAGTGTGCATATATCTTTAAACACACAGTGCAACATATCTGTTTATAAATTAGTAAAGTGTAAAAAGGAAAATTAAATTTAGAGAATTAAATTTAAATTTCTAGAGAGAAATGTATTACACTGAGATTCAGATCATTAACGTCTTACATAATGCCTAAAGCTGAGTTGTAAATGTGACTGTAACATCCTCAGTGGCAAAAGACAATAGGAAAAATAATGAATTTAAAATTCTAATAAACATAAGATACAAGATACTACTCAGGAAATAAGGGAGTTTCTAGGGTACTAAGCTGTGCAAAGCTGTTTCTCCTTTGGCCTCATATACAAGATATTGAGTGATGTGGTGGCTCTATGATCAACAGCATCCCAATAACAAATGCAACGTTAAATATCTTAGGGCTTCTAGTAGTGTCCCTCTATGTAAGAGGGAGACATAATTTCCAAGCAGAATTCAGTGGGATTGAGCTGACTAGGACAAACCAAGCAAAGGGATTCAAGCACAGAGTCACAGATCACCTTATTTTCTTAAGGAATAAAATCTTGGCTGTTTAGCAGATTCTGCTAATAAAATACTGAAAAACACATATTCCCAGTAAAAGCTAGAGAAGCTAACTGAAGAAGCACCGCGAACATCAAACCGAATGCCTCTCTTACAAATTAAATTTGGCTAGCATGGCTGACAGTTTACTAATTCTAATAGATGTATCAATGGACAAATTCCATGCAGAAAGTGCGTAAGTTGTCTTGTTCCCTGTTGTATTATCAGCTCTTAGTACTGTTCCTGCTGCCTGGTAAATGTTCACTAAAGATCTGAGGAATAATTGAGTAATGAATGAAGTAAACCTCCACAATGCTATTTTCTACAGAGTGGCTTTTGCAAAAAGTTGTGCAGCATAGAGAGGTTCTATAAGTTACCAGGGACTTGAAGCAAGCAAACAAAAATACATCCTTCTATCCACTAAAGTAGGTTCATAAGAATTAAGAAGAAATGTATTCACCGCCATTTATGAAAATTAAAGAATCTAATTAAGAGTTAGCATTCTTTCCCAGAAGAATTGATCCAGTGTTTAAGATTGTTGTAAGGCTCACATGAGAAAATAAAACCAATGTTTTTGTAGATCAAGATACACTCGTGTCAGTGCGTGTAAAATCCTTTAAACTCCTCCAAACATCCACAATTCCTGACCCTTCTGTCTATTGACGTCTTGTGGTGTGTGTGTCTGTGTGTGTGTCAGTCACAGTTGTTTTGGCTTACGGTTTAAATGAGATAATCTACATAATATTAACAAGCCCAGGACATAGTCAGAAAGTGATATATCCTAATGGTTCTTGCAATTATACTTCCAAAATGTTCTAAAAGTTAGATCTGACCCTATCTTCACACAAACGTTTAGTGGTTTCCAGAAGCCTAACTGCAGAATATACAACTTGCCTTTTGTTAAGATTTATTTATTTATTTGAAAGTCAGAGTTACAGAGAGGAGAGGGAGAGATAGTGTGGCTTCTTCATCATCCACCTTCCCTGTATAATTTGACCACTCTCTTCTGGCTTCTTTATTAAGTAGACTGTGTTCTTTCAAGCCTCTAGGACTTGGCACATGCTGTTCCATCTTTCTGGAATGCTCTTCCCTCTCTGCTCTGGCAAAAAACTTTCTCCTTCAAATTTCTTCTGCTCTGGAAATCATCTCTACCTCTCCCTGGCGGAATTAACAACCTCCTCCCCCGCCCCCCCCCCCCCCCCAACTACTTTCTAAACTACCTAGAATGTCATTGAGTTCACTTACATTTCTGTCTTTCTGATTTGTCTTTGAATTTCTCTAGATTAGGAACTCCAAGTCACTTCTGAGTTCCGGAATGCCTAGAATGCAGTGCAGACTTAATATATGCAATGTAACAGGTGAGCAAAAGCCTACCCCAGGGTCTCCCTCCATTTGTGCTCAGAGACATTTGTCCAGCTGCATTTCATTGACTCAATGTAATTTGATTCAAACAACGCTCCCCACCCTCAGCAACCCAACTTACTGACTAACAGAGGGAAGACCCTTTGGGAATTTCGGGATCCTTTTCGGGGTCACCAAGCTAACAGGCTGGCAATTCAATAAAGAAGCTTTCCTTATGAGAACTTACAAGAAAAAGGGGACTCAGGTCTGCTATCCCTAGAAAAAGGATTGCCTGCGTAGAGTCGCTAGTCCCCTCTTCGCCTCACTTCTCATTCAGGGAGAGACCCCAAGGAGGGAGACAAGAAGAATGGGGGAGGGAGCGGGAAAGTCCTCCCCTGCACCCCCGCCCACGCTAACCCGAGGGTCATAAGGCGCCTCTGCAGGGGACCCGAGTATCCTCGGTCTTTTCCCCACTCATTCTCGGGCTTTCACTCTACACTCCCTTCCCCAGAATCCCCACCTCCACTTCGCCACTCCTGGGCGCCCCAAGAACCGCCGCGCCTCCAGACTCCGGATCTCCGTGACTGCCAAGGAAGGATGCCAGTCACAGGCTGCCTCAGCCAGGGAGATCCCTGAAAGCCGAATGAAAAAAAAAAAAAAAATCGCAGGGTGAGGGCTGGAAGGAATCGAACCCAGCAACCTCCCACGCGCAGAGAAAAGTGTGTATGCACTTGCACGTCCGGTCCCAGCCTGGCACTGGCGGGTTGTCTCCGACGACCCCGGGAACGCGGAGCACCCCAAACAGGAACTTCAAAGGGAGTGAAATCTGTTGCCTGTTCCACTAGGAATCCTGTTTGCCAGGCACAAGGTGTCTTTCGGTAGTGGGCACTCTCCGCGCATGCGCAGGTCCATTCGGGAATCACTGCCCAGCCGCCGACTAAGTTGCATTCCTTGAATCTTCGCAGAAAAGACCATTCTTCCCTCAGAGTTAGTAATGTGGACAGCACAAAATCGAGAGAGTCTGGGGCTTCTCTCTTTCCCTGTGATGATTGCCATGGTGTGTTGTGCACACAGGTGAGCTGCGGTTGTTGAATCTTTCTATTTTCTTTCCACATGCCTGCTGGATCATGTCTCTGGCTCTCTGGGGGGGTAGGTGTGCCTGTATCTTTTTTATGTCTGCTCGCAGTTTGTGCTCGTTCTGACTGCAGTCCCCACTTCTTCCCCTCAGCGCCAATGAACCCAGCAACATGTCATACGTGAAAGAGACAGTGGACAGATTGCTCAAAGGATATGACATTCGCTTGCGGCCGGACTTTGGAGGTAATGCTTCATGTTTTTTCAACCTGTAACCCATCCCTAGTTGTGATTGAATGTCAAAGATAAAGGCGAGGAAAAAAAAAAAAAAAGCATGTCATTTTATAAGCCTGCACTACGCCCTGGACACACACACACGCACACACACACACACACACACGCACGCTCGCTGCCCGGACTCCCGGGCTCAGGTGGACCAGCCCCGGGCTGAGCCGACCTGCCCCGGCCGACACACCCTCTGCATAGTCACTGCATCACGCGTGTGCCCACACCTGTTTTCCTAGGCTGTCCCCCGCCGGGGTTTGGGGGTAGGGAGGGAGCCCGCTCGGGACGTAGTAAGGGTTGGGAAGCCCCTCGCCCCCTCCCCAGCCCGCTGCCACTCCGGGAATGTGCCCTTAAATGTGGTCCCGCCTTCCCGGCAGGGCCCCCCGTGGACGTCGGGATGCGGATCGATGTCGCCAGCATAGATATGGTCTCCGAAGTGAACATGGTGAGTGGCCTCCCCATGGGCCCGGCTTACGCAGATGCGAAAGGGACCGGTGCCCGTGTCCTCTGCGTTTCCTTGGCGGTCACCTCGCCCCTGGCCCCGGGGGTCCCGCTGCGTGCGCGCTGTCCACTCGGGCGAGCACGGCCAGCGGCCCCCCGGTCTGTGTTTTGGACACACACGGGCTACTGCGGCGTTCCGGAGGAAACGTGCTCCGCTCTATTTTGGGAAGGACGGGTGACTGTTGCGCCGACCGATAGGCTGGGGCGGAGTCTGAGCGCTACTTTCGCCGGGGTTCCCTGTGTGTGGGGATGAGGAGGGCACCACCTGCCGGCGGCTGGGCGGCCGGGCCGGGGGTCTGCAGCCGTGTCCTCGCCCGGACGGCCCAGGCAGCCCCTGCAGCCCGCCAGCTCCCAGCAGCCGCCGGGCGCACCGCCCCGGGTTCGGCGGGCCCCTCCTTCCTTCAGGCTCTAGCACGCCGTGTGGCCCGAGCAACAGGCTGAGACAAAAGCTGGCTGATAGAAGTCCCCAGGCCTGCCTCTGGGGAGGCTGATCTCTTTCCCTGTGGAGGTTGACGACTTTGTCTTGTTGCATCTTGCAAATTTAAGTCGAAACAAAATGGATCGAGTTACCTTGCTTCGCTTTACTCTTGACCCCTGCGCCTCTTGGAAAAAGGTGATGATGAAGGGATTGGAGTGGAGAAGGGCAAGGGCGCAGTACACAGTGCAATCCTTTCTTTGCACAAGGCTCAACATTCTTTTACTTCTATTTTTTTCCTTCCTCTTATCCGGAGCTGTTGCAAAATGGGTTGAAATCATAGCTGCCACTTTCTCTGCTGGCTGTTCCAACCAGTGCGGGTAGCAGTTTTCCAGTTATTAGAGTTTCTAACTGTTGCTTTGTGAAAGGCAGGGGAGAATGCCTGTTGCTTTTCTAGAACAGCTAGATCTACGTGAGCAAAATGCCGTATTTATTCCATTGGCGAAGGAATACTATAGCGGCAGAAATCTAGACATTCTGAATAAGAAGAGGACCAAAACCTCTGGGATTTTACCATTGTATAACTGTAAAGACTATTGAATTGTCTTAGATTTCAATACTAGTGTGATATTTTATTTATGCTAAGGATTAAGAATTTTATTTTTTTAGGTTATGACCTGGAAGAAATAAATATATTTATAGACTATGGCGTGGCTCTGGAGGCAACCATATGACATTATATTTTTGTATTTTATAATTGTAACTGCCCTTATTTTAAGTAACTTACTTAAAAACACTGTGTTAACATGTCTTTCATGGTTGTTCCAAAAAAAAAAAAAAAAAAAAAAAGAAACCTGAGTTTCAAACCATAGTGCGCACAAATGAGTACTTCTGATTTGGCAAAGATTTTTAGCAGACTCACTAATTATATTCTGTTTGCATCCATCCTAATATCATAAGCAAACTCAAACACTATACACATTCGGGAGAAAATAATAACATGTGCACCTATACAGATGATACCTAGTCCATGTAGGTTCCACTGGACAAATTAGACATGAATTACTTTAACAAGTTGCATCATGTAGATAAGTGCTATTTTCTTTTGCAGTCCTTTGTTTTAGCACCTAGTAAGCAACCAGATAGATTTGTAAAATAGAAGATTCCCAAAGCTGAAAAGGCAAACACTGACTTTGAAGTGGTCTACTTTGCTGTATAGGGTATCATCCTTTTCAAAATTTCAAAAAATAAATAATTCTGCTCACTATATTTAATATACCTCTTTATTTTTTAAAAAGAAATTTAACTAAATATGAAAGTTTCCATTAATTAAAAGAAGCACTACAACAGAAAGCTCCATATAGTCAGTCATTTAACGAAATTCATACATTTAATGAATTGGTATTTCTCCCTAATGACTGAATAGCACTATTCACTGATTGTGCCACGTATATGTGCACTTGATTTTAAAAATACCCAATAAATAAGACTTTGAAAATACAATCTATAAAAATATCCATTACCTTTTCACTATGATGTTAGATTCATGATGTGAAAACAGAAACCACTGAAAGTCGAAAATTAACCTTGATCTACTTTTTCTTCCTTCTTTCCTCTTTTAATTAGAGATACCAATAAGGTTCAAAGTTTTTCTTCCCTCTTCTCTCACCTATAAGAAAGCATTGAAATAAATAGATCAGAAATAACTCCATGGCAAATGGAAATAAAGGAAAAAAATTAGGCTGGTTTTCTCCAAAGGGTAAGAAAGTTGTCTGTAATATCTTTGGAGTTTAGATAATATAAGTAGGATTGAAAGACTCTGAGGAATAAGATTCATGGCTTTTTATGCCAAGCAGTTTCTGGTGCTCTGATAGGCAATGCCATTTGAGGTTATTTAACAAGAAATTTTCATCAAAATTGACAAAAATAAGAATGAACAGGATGTTATAAAAATTGTTTTTTAAGAAAATATGAGACCAATCTATTATCAAGTCATTATTAATTTTTATATTTTAGTATTAATATTATTATCCACTTCATGGTTGGAAAAATGATTAGATCAATGTATTTGAGAACTAGGTTTTGTGAATTTTTGTTCATTTCCTGCGTTATCCTAAGTATATATAATTACAGATTGCTTTATAGCATTGTGTGTTTTAAACATTAATATCACATCAAGCATTTTCTTTTTCATGTCCTTCAGATTATAAAATTTTTCTGAAATTAAGGGGGTAGGGAAGGATGATAAGCATCTACAATCAGACATCACTGGTCTTGAGCAGAGAATAATTCTGATGCAGAATATATATATACATATATATATGCCTATATATATACATATATATATACACATATATATATGCCTATATATATACATATATATATATATATATATATATGCCAGGCTTTTTTGTTCAGCCAATAATTTTGATTATAGTAGGAAGTATCTTTCTTTTGACAACATGGGATATATGATGTGTGTGATAGTGACCACATAGATAGTATTATCATATTCTAAACCATCATCTTAAAAAAACTACTATGATTTCCATTTATTGTGTATTAAACCCTTCAAGCCTTCTCTTCTAAGAATTTCTACCAAGCCATACTCATATGTGTGCACACGCGCACACACACACGCAGACTAGGGATGAATAGGAGGCAGTTGGAGCAAAAGGAGAGAAGAGCTCCCAGAAATTGTTCTTAAAGTAACCGCAGCCATCTGCTACTATAAAGCCAATAAAACATAGATAGTAGTCAGCAACTTTCCTCCTGGAGTAGTAACTTAGGGAAACATGATATTAACTGCCTCAAGCAAGTGTTTGAGTTCTCTTATTTCATATTCCAACAACTAGCTGAATCTCCTTGTTTAAGAGAGGATTCTGAGTCGCACCCTCACAGCTCTGTGTCCCTGATCTAAAAACATCATGGTCCAAGACACCATCCCCAGGAGACTTACATCCAGCAAGTTCTGACAGAAAGTGTGACTCAGCCCAAGCCATTGCCAGGGAGAGATGGTGACCATGTATTCATTATTTCTTTCCTTCCTTTGTGCAAGGATTGATACAACAGCAAATGCCTTCACCAGGCATTAAAATTAACAGTGATAATGGCAACCAAAACAAAAAAGAATCCATTTTATAAATAGTGTCTAAAAATATTTAATTTACCAAACAGCCACTTAAATTTCACTATTTTTAATGTTCATATTGTGTTCCAGAAATTTCTGGTACACACTTCAGTTATGTCTAATTACCATCACTATGATGACTCAAAACAGTAACCACTTGTCAGAATCCAGCTTCCACACCCACTTCTCAAGTCAGTGCTCCTCAGTCTTTAAGGCACACCTGAATCATTCTGGGATCTTGTTATAAAACAAATTCTGAATCAGAGGTGTTGGGGGTGGGGAGACTGGCAGTCTGCATTTCTCCCAGGTGATGCCCATTGCAGGTGTGTGCACAGCATTTTGAGTCTCAAGGTGGTGGTACATTATTCTAAGATATAGTTTTATTAAAAAGTGAATATTTTTCTTCTAAATTTATCTGGAAATGATAATATTTCAAGGTAGCAAAGTATGTTTTAAATTAATTTTCAAGTAGTGAAACAGGTAGCAGTGTTGTAAAGGGAAAAATAAGGTTAGTAGTTGGTAAAAAAATAACAGGGCAAGGGTAAGAGACTAGATGATAGAGCTTAAGCTAGTAAGTCGTCTTCCTATGTATGTCAGTACATGTGAATCAACCAGTTTTAAATTATGACAAGGAAAATATGGCCAGATATGGTAACTCTGTAACAGTGCTGTCTTGATGCTTTGTAAAACAATAATGACTTCTCTTGTTTTGAATAAAGAGCATTGTCAACTGAACCCATACCCACTGAGAAGCTAGCAATAGCTCTGTGAAATAGCCTAAACGTACTCTCGCTGCTGTCTGTAAATTCAGCGGCTATAATAACATTTCCTTTGCAAACAGAGCAAATGGGTCAGTGCCATTTAAAGGTAAGAAAAGATATCAGCAGTTAAATAAAGATAAAAGGCTGTTTTTCTTTTATATAAGAAATTACTCAGTGATGAGTTATAACGTTATACCATCTGGAGAGGCTGAGAGAGGAAGATTCCCCTTGCTTTTCTGTCTGGAGATAGCAGAAATATGTTTTTATAACCCAAATCACATTAAAGCAAGCCTATCTAGAGTTTAATAAGTGTGAATTTGCATTTGAAAACATGTGATTTTAGGATTACAGGGCCAGACTGGGTATTAAAGTATGTAATACAATGGCAATAAACAGTAACAATCCCTGGAACATTTCCCATGTGTGAGGCATGGTTATCAAGTATTGTACATTAATAGCTTATTTTAGCCCTTAATTTAAGACTATGAAATTCTTATACCCCATTGCAGATTAAAAAAACTGAGGCTGATAGGTAGAGAAACTTAAGTTGAGAGAAGTTACAGAATTCATGAGTGATAGAGCCAAGAGTTTGAAACCAGACAGCTTGTGTCCAGCACCTGCTTGCTAACCATCAGGCT